AATTAACGAGCCGAACACGAGCTTCTTAACGAGTCGAACACGAGCTGTTCGCGAACAACGAGCCGTTTTGACAGCCCTAGTATTTAATAACAGATTTACTGAAATCTAGCCAAACAACGAAAAATTGAATCTTAAATCCAATGCTTTGTTAAATCGATTTTTCTTGTACTGTACTTGATTTTTCATCTTTTTTGTCACGTAAATCTGAATTTATTAAATCTGGGTCGCAGGTGATTTTAAGATTTGTGGCTTTGAAGGTTTTCTCCGTCAAAATGGACTATTTTGATGAATCTGTATTTACGAAATCCTATTTAATGTAAATCTCTGATGCAGCCAAACACCGGCTAGGGGTAATCGTGCATAATGTTAAAACTAACCCATGTGATCTCCCTTCGATATACCTATTAATTGATTTTTCTTAGATAGGACTAGATTATTCTATGCAGATTTATTTTAATAATGTTCTATATGTTCATTATAGCATAAGGTGTAAAAAGAATGTTTTGAAAAATATTCAGATCTACCGACTACACATCATGAATCTCGATGACATAGTAGCAGTAAATCCCATGCACTTCAGAGTTTTGACTGCTAATAATAACAATTAGGGTTGTGAACTTGACTCGATGATCGTTAATCGCTCCGAAATTGATTCAAATTTTGACTTGAATTGAGATCAGATTTAAATAAATGAGATGAATTATGAGCCAAAATTTTAGATAGAACTTTTTTTTTTCAAACAGATTTCAAGTCAAAAATGAATCAGCTCGAGATTGGCTCGAAAAATAATTTTCATTTATAAAAATTATATAGATAATGCTAAATAAAATTAAATATATCAAGTCACATATCAATTTTAAGCCAGAACGGATCCAAATAACTCAATTTAAACCAGCTCACTTCAATTTCGACTCAGATCAAGCTCGAAATCGAATATAACAAATCACCAGCAGATTTCAAGTCGCATTCAATTCATTCGAGCGGATCTTGAGTCGGCTCTCAAGATTGGATGTTTAACAGCCCTATTCACACCTTGGAACCAGTTGTGAGCAATTCGAGCATGTAAATATGTATTAATTCTTAGAAAGTACAGAGAATTTAATGTGGTGGATAACTATATTAGATTTATTTGTGGTTTCTCGTCACTTTTATGACCTTTTTACTGCTGCAGTGGCCGTTTTCTTCACTTAGAAATGGGTGTTATTGATGTACGATGCTAAAAGTATAGATCAATTTCGCCCTTTTGGGATCAACAATCCAATTTTTTTTTATATATATATATATATATATATATATATATCCACTTAATTGCATCTGTAAGTTTTCATTTCTATTTACTTCATACTGAGAACGCCTTATCTATTATTCGGTGACCTCACCTACGGTAATCACATTCTCATCCCATTCCTCAAAGGGTTTACTGCAAATTCCAGCCAAGCAGCATGCATACTAAAAACAAGTAAGTACAGAAAAACTCAAAAAAAAAAAAAGAAAAAAAAAATCATACTTCGTGGACCGATCGAAGAATGACCCTCCATTCACCCTTCGATGATGAATCTATGCCTCGCAGCTCGTGGAATATGAGTGGCGACGCATGTGAAAAAGTCTTTCTGTCCATGAAATAGCCATAAAAATTGAAGCTTTTGACAGTCTCATGTGCTTTATCTGCAGCTACCTTCTCATGGCCAACCACTCCCATCCCAAGCCACACTGGCCATGCATTGAATGCTCTGAGGATGCTCATCCAGCTCTAAATTACCCTCACACTACTTATTCGAACTCTGCAGGTCGAAGCAGTTCTGTGGGATGATGGGGTTTAGGAGAAGGGGTCAATGGCCGCTTCATCTTCTCTGTTCGGTCGCCATTGTTGCGGCTTTTGGAAATTTTGGTGGCGTTTGCTCTGAAGTTAGTGTGAAGTTTGTGAAGACGCCGCGGCGAATCTCGGCATTGGACTCTGCTGCATTTGAGTTTGAGGTTTTGGAGGGAGGGAGTGGAGTTCGTTGCAGCGATTGTGCAGTCCGCTGTAAGGTTGGTTGGAGCATAGCTGTAATGATTTTAGCTCTTTGGTCGATTGAGCGTTTTCTTTGCTTCTTTGTTTTTGTGATTTTACCCTAGAATGTTTGGCAATTAGGGGTAGGTTTAAATCTTGCGTTTGAGATTAAATACTTTTTTAAGCTGGTTTATAGTAACTTTATTTGGCAGGTTAAAAGTTCTTTTGGATTTTGGAGCTGAGATTGCGAATTTACTTGAATGTTCCATTTGTTGCTGGTTGAAAATGCTTGCGCCATTTTGATTGCACGATTTAGCTGTTTTAATTGATTAGTTCTGCATGTAGTTTAAATTGTTTAGTTCCTAATCCTGCTCAGAAATCTCCATTGTTGCTACTATTTGATTTTGATTATTTTCTTTAGCGCTTATCTGCCACATTTTAACTTTTACTGGATGATCTGGTAGTTATACTTTCTACTGGGGAGAAATCATCCAGAATTATTATACAAAATTGTAGCAGAATTTTTAAATTGCTCGGTGATGGCGAAGCTTTTTATCTTTTTCATTGAAGAAAGAGGACACTTTTCCTCTTGCTGTCGTCATTATCATCATCATCATCATTAGTGTCATCTCAACTAATTCAGCTTTTTTAAAGAAGTTGGCTAGAAATGCTGTTTGATCCAGTATTTTTTGCGCGCCCCAAGTTTCTTAAATCTGAAGCATGGATTTTTCTTTATTGGTAATTTAACTTTGAAAGATTTACATACTTTTCACTCGATTCATATGTATGTACATATCTTGTTATTTGAAAACAATGCGAAAACGAAGAAATTCACATAACAATAATTAAAATAATTACGTGGTTCAACGTTAAATTGGTTTGCTTACGTCCATGGGGAGAGATATTTCACTAGCATCGGATGAGAGAAAGAAAAATGGCTTAGGGTTACAACTCTCGCTTCTCACCATACAACTCTCATAAGCCCTCAAGTCTCTTTTAGAGAGTAGGACTAAGACATTCAAGTAAATAAAACCAAAAGACCGAATTACCTCTAATTATAAATAAGCCATGAATACAACAATTTTCACTTCATCTCTTACTTCCAAGTAAGTGAGAGATAACAAAATGAGCTCCAAACTCCACTACAACTGCACTAAGATGGTTGCCTACGTACTCCTCCCCCCGAAGAGATCAAAACTTGCGTAGCTCTTCAAAATGTTCGAATAGACAATCTGCCATGAGCTCGGATGTTTACCAAACTTCTATAAGAGGTGAACTTCTAGACTGATAGTATCTTTGTGAGCATGTCCGCTGGATTTTTCTTCATATTTATCTTATTCAACAAATCTTTGTATCCTTCAATCAAATTTCAAACAAAGTGGTACCTCGCAGTAATGTGCTTGGCTCGAACATGATGAATTGAATTCTTAGCCAAGAATATTTGCACTTTGACTGTCACAAAACACTGTCAGAGACTCATGATCAACTTTCGAGTCATTCAGTAAGCCCTGCATCCATATTGCTTTTTTCGTTCAAAACAAGCGTATACTGAAGAAACAACCTCTAACTAACTAGACCTTCTGCCAATGTGAATAAATAGCTAATCGTAGATCTTCATCTATCCATATTACCTGCATAATCTGAGTCAGTGTAGCCTATACAGAAATTTTCAATAGATGACTGCCTCTCAAACGTCAAGCTAAAATTAACTTTACCCTTCAGATACCTCAGAATACTCTTCAAAATTTGCCAATATATTTTTTTAGATCATGCATGAACTTGTTCACAAAACCAATTGTGGACTCCTATCCCCTCATGAACTAATCAAAATTTTTATACCACTGTCGTGGGGAGTGCTTCAACCCATGCAAAAACATGTCAAGTTTGCAAACCAAGCTTTTGATGCTTCACATCCATGCGACTGCAACATATAGATATTCTCTTGCAATTTTAAATGTAGAAATACAGTTTTCACATCGAGTTGTTCCAAGATCTGACCGTACTATGCTATAATTGCTAAGAGATTACGGATTGATGGATGCTTGACCTTTCGGAAGAATACTTCATCATAATTAATACCTTCTCGTTGTGCAGTATCTTTTGCCACTAATTTTGCCTTGTACCTACCGCACATCAGTTCCACGTGATTCTTCTTTCTTTGCATACATCCATTTGCACCTGATGACTTTCCTTCTTGGAAGAAGCTTCACTTTCCTCATAGTATCATTCTTTTGAAGTGACTCCATCTCTTCTTCTTCTATTATTGCTCTCCAAAGATCACAATCTGGGCTCTCCACTGCTTCTTTGTAGTGATAAGGAATTTCTGCCTCTATGATTCAAAGCGTAAATCTAATAGATTTTCGAGCAAGCTGGATTTGGTACATTCTGGCGCCTGGCCCTGCTTTAAGCAATAAATTGCTGAGTAGGAATCTCATCTTCAGTATCTTCTTCTACCTCCTCATGAGAACTATCAACTTTTATTTTTTGAGCTAAAACTGAGTCAGTTATCTGAGTCAGAGTGGACGAACTTTTTGGAACAAATGGAATTGCATCACTTCAACTTCTGCTGCATATCTATGATCCTAATAGAACTCTCCACCTGCTTTGAGTTTCAATTTTTCAACAAGTTTATCTCATTGAATGTAACATATCTGCTAATAAAAACCTTTCTTTCTGACCGATCATACAGTTTGAAGACCTTAACTTCATGCCTGAAGCCAATGAAGATGATCATCTTTGCTCGTAGTTCCAGTTTATCATTCTGCATGTAATAGTAAGCTGAACACCCAAACACTCTCATGTGTTCATAATTTCTAGCAAGATGCCTTGACCATATCTCCTTTGAGAGCTTCTTCCCAATAGCTGTAGAAGGCAGATGGTTCATCAAGTGATACACATATTATATGGCCTTGACTCAAAAGATTCTATTCAACCCAACACTTGATAACATACACCGAATTTTCTCCACCAAAATAAGGTTCATCCTCTCTACCACCCCGTTCTGCTATTGTGTGTCTCGAGCAGTGAAGTGATGCTCTTTCTTAGCTCTCTGACATTTTTGCAAGAACACATCCAAATTGTATTCAGCCTCATTTTTGGATTGATATAACTGATGTTTTTATCAGTTTGAGTCTCAATCAACTTCTTCCAAGTTATGAAAATCTTCAACACTTAACTTTTGTGCTTCATTGTGTACGCCCAAACATACATAGAGTAATCATCAATAAAAAAGACAGTATCTCCGCCCGCTGAATGATGTTGTCTTTGTCGAGCTCTAAATATCTGTGTGAACATGCTCTAAAATACTTTTTGTACTGTGGATGACAGTCCCAAAAGATACCCGTGCGTTCTTGCCAAATACATGATGTTCACTGAAATCAAGCTTGCAAGTGTTTGTTTCTTTGATCAATTATTTCTTCACTAAAGCCTGAAGTGAAGCTTCTCCAGCATGAGCTAGCCGCATTTGCCACAACATAGTGGCGTCAGAAGAATTATCAGCAACAACAGTTGTTCCAGTCACTGTACTATCCTGAAGATTGTAAATATTAGAATCACAAACTTCCTTCATAAAAACTATTGCTCTACGATATATTCTCATAACTCTTGTCTCAATAATTACCTTGTAACCTTTAGACTCTAAAAACCTAATTGACAACAAATTCTTCTGATATCTAGAATATGTTTAACACTAGTTCGCTCCCTCACAGTATCATCATGCATTCTGATAAAGATACTCATTACACCAACAACACGATGAGTTTGATCGTTGCATTTAGACACTACACCGCAATCCAACTCCTTATGTGTATAAAACCACCATCGATGAGAACAAATGTTATATGTAGCACCTGTGTCCAAAATCCAACATGAATTAACTGTAAATAAATTGTGATAAATTGCAAATAATGATACATTTGACTCCGCCTCTACACATCTTTCCACACAGATATTGACTTTCACCTTAGATGCAATTTCATCTCTTTTTCTTCAGCTTCCGACAATCTTTCTTTCAATGATTAATCTCTAAACAGAAAGCACACAGATTTTTCTCAAAACTGCACCCACGACACTTGCTCCGCTTTTGAGAATTGTCGCCACTGCCTCATTTTCTTGCCAAATTATTATTTTTTTCTCAGATTTGCCACGTTGGAGTGTAAGAGACTCAACAGACTTCATTTTTGCAAACTCTTTATCTCGTTGACGGAACTCATGATTCAACAATATCGTAGTCACTTCACCATAATTCAAGACTTTCTTCTCATGAATGAGTGTCATAATGAAGTTTTCGTACTCATCCGGGAACGAATTAGATAAAAGGAGGGCGTTATCTTCATCTCCAATCTCCTCATCAAAATTTAATAGATCTGCTAACAACTTTGTGAAGTCATTTAAGTGCTTATCAATAGTAACCCCCTACATCATCTGAAATCTGTATGGACGCTTTATATGGAGACGGTTCTCCACGCTCGTCGTGAGATATTTGTTCTCTAGCATCCTCCACAATTTTTTTGCAAAAGTCTCTATCATCACAACATATTTGATCTCCCGGGTCAAGTAATTTCGAATCAAGCTATAAACACTCCGATTCATCTCAACCAATCTCTGTCTGACATCTCTTTAGGACATTCCTCACTATTCAAGATTTCCTCCAAATTCTGAGTACACATCATATCCCTCTCCTTACATCGCCACATTTCAATTTTTTTTTTGTCGTTGAATTTCATCACATCGATTTTGATGGGACGCGTAACGACCTAAGGAATCAACTTTTCCACCGCCATAGGCATGTTGAAAAACCCGACATCATTGTTATCATTCATTGTTTCTACTCTTGCAATTTCTTTTCTAAAAAAAATATCTCTAGCAAAATACTTAGAAAAAAATTAAATAACAAAAAAGGTTCACTCAAAAAATAAAAAATTTCTTCTTCTTATTCTGAAATTTCTTTTTTTTCTTTCTTCTTTTCTTCTGAAATTATTTCTTCCTCAGAAAGAATTTTTTTTAAAATTTTTTGTTATCAGATGGGAGAAATAAAAGCGGTTTGGGGTTATAGCTCGCGCTTTTCACTACAGTCCTCAAGTCCCTTTTATAGAGGATAACTAGAGCATACAAATAAATAAAGTCAAAAGATCAAAATACCGCTAATTACAATAAGCTATCTAACTCCTAAATTTCAATTTATACATTTATTTCACCTTACCTATGCATAAAAAAAGTATATTTCAATTTTTAAAGTCAAAATAGTGGTATTTTTTATGTGATATGAAATATTTGGGGTGTATAACAACAACAACAACAAAGCCTTAATCCCACTACATGGGGTCGGCTACATGAATCTTTTTTTCTCCATTGCGTCCTATTAAGTGTCATATTTTCATTTAGTTCTAATAAATTAAGATCCTTTTTTACACAATAGGCCCACTATCTCTGCCTTTCTTAACATAAGTCGAATCTAAAACATCTACTCTCCTAATCGGATCATCAGATGGTTGACGTTTAATGTGACCATTTCATGGAGGGGTGCAGCACGAGGACTTTCCAGGAGGTCACCCATCGTAGTACTATTCTCGCTCAAACACACTAAACTGATGTCAGATGTATAAACACATAGGAATTGGGTGGTATAAATGTAAATGCCCGAACTTTTTAGTTTGAGCTATCATGGGATTTTATGCAAGTTAGTTCTCTATGTATTTGAAAGTTCAAAAAAGAAGAAAAATTTTCAATGACCAACATATAGGGAAAAATAGATCCTTATACCATCATTAGAATCCGTAAAATTGGAGTTCTTTTACAATTTACAACTAACATGTCAGTTCCATGTGGATGTTAGATTCAAAATAGGGAGCAAAAAATTTAGCATAAAAATAGCTTACATTCTGATGCTGTAGCTTTTGCTTGCATACTGAGTTCCAATTATCTTTTCTAACTACACACCTGTCAACAACAATGCAGCTGGACAATGATAGCTTTTCAGATTGCAATTCTGGACGAGTAAATTACGATAGCTTACATGACGGAGATCACATATTTGAGGCTTGCATTAGTGGATACGGTGGACTTCGCTGTGATAGCTATAACTGGACTGTTGGTTAAGAATCTTCCCTTTTTTGGTTTTATTACAGCTTGTTTTCAACCTTAACATTCTATGAAAATAATCTCCATTTTAAGCTTCAACGTTATGTGTATAGCTTTTACAGTGATTTAATCATGAACCATAGATAAATAGATTGTATTTCTTGTTCTTAATAGTAGGATTTCAGTTCCAACATGTATTTGTTTCAGAAATGAGACGGCCTGCATCTTTTAAACCAGGTGTATTAAGCGATGATCATCAGATCCATCACTGGTAGAAAGGCAAGCCAGAAAAAGACTTCCAGATTCTGATTTTTAGAATAACTTAAATTAAAAAATGTCATCATCAAAAGCTTCAATCAAATATTACAAGCCAATGTTTGTAAGAAATCGAGAGGGAAAAAGAGGGAGAAGGAAGAAAGGAAAGCCTCTGCAAAGCACAATTTTCTCTAGTTTACAATACCAACTGAATATGAAGATGCATAATTTTTAAACTAGCTATTAAAAAGTCGAAAGATGCCATTTACCACCCAATTCCTATGAACTTACATATCTAACACATAAACTTTCCTTTTTACAATTATACCACAAAATCGTACTTATCACTTAAAAAATACCACATACATACACCTTTTTCATACATAGGTAAAGTGGTGTTTATGTAAAAAATAAACTTTAGGTGTTAGGTATGTAAATACGTAAGAATTGAGCGGTATGTATGTAAATCTAGAAGTCTGGCACTTGTGTTGTCACATACCTTAAGCTCTAACATTGCAAGTTCATGCATATTAGTTTCACTTTGTCTAATCTCTATAACGTAGACATTTCCAATATGCAGATACTGTTCCTCCTACAGCATATGTTTCAGCTCCAATGCCTTTTACAAATGAGTCTAATGTGTCTGTACATATATTATTCAGTGAATCTTGTCCTGGCGGAGGAGGATTCAGGTGCTTTCCTGACTATTGTAGTGTAAGTAGGCTGCTGCTCTTTATTATCTGTTTTTTTTTTGGAGGAGATTTACATACCTCATTAAACAATTTAAAATATTTATTTTATTCTTCATAAGCCTAAAACCTAAACTTTCGTATTTACTTATATAGTACTTTAGTGCTTTAAACCTATGCATGAAAAAATGCGTATTTCACATTTAAAAAGTGGTAATAGTGCTATTTTTTATGTGACATTAAAGTTTTGAGTGCTATGTGTTATGTGAAAACAATGTGGAAACGAAGAAATTCACGCAACAACAATCAAACACAAAAGATTTACGTGGTTCAAAATTAATTTGATTTGCCTATGTCCACAACAACAACAACAACAACAAAGCCTTAATCCCACTACGTGGGGTCGGCTACATGAATCTTTTTTCTCCATTGCGTCCTATTTAGTGTCATCTTTTCATTAGTTCTAGTAAATTAAGATCATTTTTAATACAATAAGCCCAAGTTTTCCTAGGTC